TGTATCCTTAGTCCTATAGATGCAATGAATGAGATGTAGTAGGAAACACTCACCTAAGGACTGTGTTGCAAGATGCTACAGGTTTGTTTCTGGAAGTGCAGGCTGACAGGATGCCATGTTAGGCAGAGCAAGAGATGGCAAAGATGAAGGCGTGACTCATATCAAACATATCTGTTGTAAAACCCAGTAGTACGAGAAACATCAACTTGCAGTTTGATTTGGTGACCATTTAGCTCTTCAGTACAACTGGGCAGTGTGTTGCTCCTCTGTCACGTCCATTGCAGAAGGGATCTGCATAAGGAGGGACCCTGAAGGAAGTATCTGAAAACTCATTATTATGCTGAGTGGGTTTATGGGGTGGTGTACTCACTGGAGCTGCTGTTTGCATGACACATTGGTTTAATGTTGTTTTTCAGGTGTAGTGGGACATACTGAGACAACAGACGGTATGAACAGTGTCACTGCAAGTTCACGCTGATGCTTTGTTCACCCAATAAAATCTACTTAGACTTAAAATAGCCAGAACATGTTTTGGAAACACAGTTTACCTTGAGCACAGATCTTTTTCCTTCTCTTGGGACATTTAGGCTTTTGATTTAGCCACGCTGACAAATATTTAATGATTCTAAAAAAACCCAGGCTTTTAAAGTTGTGTTTCTCTTTGGTTTCTCTTTTTGAGTACTAGCCTCACCCTTCTCCTCTGCCTGGGCCGACCCTAGGTAGCACCAGCAAGGCCAGATGCTGAAGCCAGCACCACATTTCACAGCTTCTCTGTCATTTCGGGGCACATGAGACCAGAAATAGCTGGTCACTAAGAGTGCCTGACATTTGACCTTATCGCTGTAGATCAGCTTGGAGGAGAGAGGTCCCTTCTCCACAGAAAGTGCTCAAAGCACAGACTGGCCTCTCCTCCCTTTCCAGCCATAAGATCCTCCAAGGATACACCAGGAAAGCTGTGGTTTGGCCAAACAGTGTATGTGTACAAAACTCTCTGAAAAAAATGCTATTTCTATGGAAAGATTTATGTAACAAGAGTGTTCCTGTCCTCTGATGGCCTATATGGAAAGGGATTAAAATGCAATTTCTGTAACTAATATAAATAATAGAATATGTTGTTCTAAGAAAAAAAAAATAGAGTAGTTTGTTTGGTTATTTGGGCTTTTTTACTTTTAATTGTGATGGTTCATTTAAATTAATATTGTTTGAATGTTGTGAGCTTTAGGAAGCCGCAGAGGTAAGTAATATATCTACTCAGATCTGCATGCCTGCATTTTCCAAACCCTGCTGTTCTTTTAACCCGTTTGTTCTGTGCCCAGTTCAGCTCTGCATTGTTGCTGCGTGTCAGTGAACTTGAAGGGCTGGACTGGGCAGCTCCCTCTAGCCAGGCACCAAGGAGTGTGCAATTAGCCATACTCTAGCAGGAGCTGGGTACTGGGAGCCAGGCACAAATTACTGGCCTGTAGCTCAGTAGCCACCCCCTCAGAGAGCTGCAAGAAAAAATAAACAACAACTAGGATTCATTTCACTTGAGAATTTTTTTTTTTTTTACCTAGTTCTTTTTTCATTTAAAGCATCACGTGAGCAAATCTTGCTGGCAGCATTTAGAGCTGGAGAGGGTGTTGCTGATCTAATCAGGATCTTAAAGTTTGGCTAAATCCTGGCTAATCAGCACCTTGCCACCTCACTGAACACAAAGTCATAGTCACACTGCAAGACCTCTGGAATTTCGTAAGATTTAATCCCTGCTATGGATGAGAGCACTTGTGGCTGATGTAGCTTCTCCAGATTTCAGCTGAAATGGCTGCAAGTCCAGGAACTGCTGTGAAGCTGTGGCTCCGAGCGATGCCTCAACATCCCCCAGTGCAGTGCCATCGGCAGGGCATGCACTGGAGAAATCTTGGCGTCATTTTGGGCCATTTCAGGCAGTTCTTACTCTGCTGCTGCTGGACTTCCCCCTGGTGTCTGCAAGTAGGGGTTTTTTTTTTCCATAGTGGGTAAACTCAGTAGAACAGATGATGTAGAAAAGTGAGAGGGAGGGAAAGGTAACAAATTTGTCCAGCAGAAACAAAGCTGCAGTGTTTGAACTCATAGCAGTAGGTCTGGCCAAACCTTTGAGCCTGGTTTTTGGAGTTTGAATCTTACAGGCAGCAAGTAATCTGGAACAGCTTTGAGATTTTTTTCTTTATCATATTTTTACTTTAATATTCCTTGAAATGTAGCTGAAGCTGGAAGAAGAACAACTGGGCCATGCATCCACACCATACGATGGAAGCATTCCAGGTCCCATTTACATTGCTAATCACACGTAGTGCAAACAAGAGAAGACCCGAATTCTCTCAAGCTCCCAAAGAGTCAAATGAAGAGGCATTAAAAGTGATATATTTGAAATCAAGTGGCATAGATGGACTTAAGGGGATGCTAACCTAAACTGTAAATCACAAAAAAAATAAAGCATGTGCACCAGTTCACTAATGGCAGTGATACAAAAAACAGGCAGCTTGCCCTTAGGGTGTCTGTCTCACTTTCTGTGACTCGTGCATTTGTCCTTCAAACTGTTGGGCACACCTGGACATAGCAGGATGCCAATGTTAGATATCCAAGAAGCACTTCATAAAACTATAAGTGTGTCTGTTGTTTAAACTGTTGTTCTAGGATGGAGCTACAGTGATTTTTAACATTTTACGTTCTTTTATCAGTTTTGATCTTCTCATAGCGGCTGCTCAGAAATGCAGTGTTTGGCATCTCCCTCTGTGTAACTACAAACTTCCCAAATGTTGTTGAAAACCCAGTTTCTATCTGATTTATTGTAGAAGAATTGTATTCTGACTTGTTAGATTTTTTTTTAACTGATTTTCATGCATGACACATACATTTGTTTATGTCCTGACAAGTGAAAAGGCATGATAAATTCTGTATTTTATTTTGTAATAGCAAAATTCCTTCCAACTATCCACTGGATTTTTTACAAGGGATGAATGTCTTCTATCAGCATTGTCAGATATCACAGACTTTGACTTAAAACTTCTGTGACATGGGGGACTGACTCTACACGGGAAACTTTGTGCTCATGATGGCATTAAAGGTAAAGTGGTGGAAAATTTGCATGTAGAAAGTTGATGTTATTTAGGAAAAATAATTATATTAGAGTGTGTACTTTGAGGAGTATTTTTTCTTTTCATAACCTTTCTGACCATATTCTTCTCATAATTAGTGATCTTTCCAAAAATCAGTGATGAAACTCTGAAAACAAAATAGCAGTTTTTAGTGTCTTTGGAACAAGTAACAAAATAAACTACTTCTTATAAAAGAAAACACTTGCTACTTTTAAGGAAGCCCTTTCTAAGAAGTTGACAGGAGTAGAAACAGTTCAGCCAAAATATCTGAGGAATTTTAAGTAAGAATTTTCTGTGCTTTTTACTGTAGCATCTGACCAATCTGTTAAGCCAATCTTTGCTACAGCGAGAGAAAAAGTTAGCAAATGTGACACATCTATACTTACAAACAGCTCCTGGGGCATCCCTGAAGACACACAGCAGCTACATTTAACTTTAGGTTAATATTAATATTCTTTTTTCATCACTTTTAAGGAAAATATAAAAAAATGTTTCCTTTCTCAACAACCTCCCCCATGCTTTCATCACTCAAGTGTGTCTTCTCCTGTGCCTCAGGCTCCTTGGTTTTCATCGTCTTGATTTGAAGAGGTTGCTTTTGGGAGAGCACTGATGGAGGGCAGAAGCTGAGCTCCTTTCCTGTCCCACAACCTGCTTTGCTGGCCCCAGTGAAGGGAAAAGCTCAGGTCACACCAGCAGATGGTATTTTGCAATCCAAGGGCCTCATGCCTCAGGTTCCCCCAAATCCCTCAGCACATCAAAGAGGTGCCAGGGATCCCATGGGAGGCATGATCCTGAGGGCTGGGAGACCACCACTTTGGAGCCCACTAGCCATGGCTGTTACACATCCATGCTAAGAAAGCTCCTTCCTCAGCAAAGCTGAGCTGCTTTACTGCCTTTCCAGAGGGATATCAGGCAAGCAGCCAAACCGCCTTGTTCCAGCTGTTTTGCGTTATCTCCCCGGGTGCAAGAGGGGGTGGCCTGGCCCTGCTCCTCCTTCCCCAGCCGTGTTTCTCCTCGCACCAGCCCTGGAGGGCTGCAGCCACGCGTGGCAAGGGAGGGTTCATCTCCTGTCTGATTGGGCTTGCTGGGTACCACCTGTACTCCCACTGCGTGAAGGTCAGTGTAAAACCAGATCCTTAGAGAGCTGTCCTCCCTCTCTTTGGCCTAAACAAGTCTTTTTACTTCTTCTGTGGGTCCACTGGCTAAGTCAGTCCAGCAAAGTCAGGTTAAGAAACTACTTTTTTTCCTTTATAGCTCAAAACTTCTCACTCACTAAGATTAATTTTATACCCCAAATTATGTGTTATTTACTTATTCATTTTTTAATCTCTCAGATAACTGCAGTGTAACAAGGGTCAGTAATCACTTGTGGGATATTGCTTTTCAGTGGAGACAAAAACTATTTTCATTGCTGCCTAGACACAGCAAATAACAAATTCTGTGGCACTTGACTGTTGCAAAAGAGCACTCAAACCGTCTACAGTCTGAAGGCAACACAACATGGGAGCATCACCCTTGAACAGGAAACATCTCCAGGGCTGGATTATTCCCTGCTTGGACAGAGGCTCTGAGAAGAACGCCCTGGTTACCAGAGGCACCACAAACAGGGCACATCAGCTTGACATGGCTGGCTGGCAGCACAGAGGTGGAAAGGAGGATGTGGTGGAGAGCAAAAACAGGGAGAGAAACATCCAGCCTTTGGTGCTATCCCCTCCTTTGCCCAGGCACAAGAAGTTGCTCTTCTGAAATATTCTTAAGAGCTCTAGGACTAAAAGCTGAGGCAGGGAAATCAACCCTACAGTGCCACTGTGTTGTGAGGGTGCTCCAGAAAAGCCATCGTCCCAGACCAGCACTGATGAGACCGCAGCAGGCCACACAGAGCAGTACTCGAAAAACTAAAGCAGCGTCTTTATTTTACACATAACTGTCAGTATAAAAAGTTTATTACATAAGAGCTGTTTTGTTTACAATATATTATATTGCTTCAAGCTGATGCAGAAAGTTCATACATTATAGTTCTACTTTGTTTACAATATATTACGTTGGTTAAATGGCACCACTGCAGTGTATTTTTAATACACAGTACTTTGCAAAACTGTAAGGCCAAAACCAGACCCATTTAATTGAATTATTTGTTTTTTAAATTAGGCAACTTACTTGTTTTATTTCTTTTTCTTTTTCTTAGGGAAAAGTCTAATAACACAAAAGGAAAAATGTAAAATGCATCTTACTTTTGTTTTAGGCAAATTAAATCTGTAGTCATTGAAATTATCCAGGTTAGCATCTATGAGGTTTTCTGCTTGAATATTGTTACTTAATTTTTGGAAAATATTTGCAGCTGTATAATCAAAAAAAGAAGAAGTTTCGATGTAACTGAAGTATAGTACAAAACACCATCCAAAGCACTGAAAGAAGAAGCCTACATAATCATGCTATAGAATTATTTATAAAACTTAAAAGGAATAGTAAGTATCAGCTCAGTGGTTTATAATGAAGCTAATAAAATTCCAGCCGGTAATCTTAACTGTAATGAACAGCATTTTAACATTCAATCCATGAGAGGTTAATGAAGGCTATGAACTTTGTGTAACACGAACCGTTTCAGATGTTGGAGTTCACCAGATATAATTGGATTCGGGTGGAACTTGCCTCTCCTCGGCCCTTTTTGGAGAAGGCGTGTGCTGCCTGTGCTTGCTGCCTGCTGGCCTCAGGGCACTCAGACTGCTGGCTCCGTACCCTGGAAAATTATCCAGTTCAAGGGAAAAGAAACCACAGAAGCGGGCTGACAATCCACAGCTAATATTTCAAGTGGAAACAGTCTCCCCGATTTGAACAAAGGATTCTGCTATGCCCCTACTCAAGCGCTCGCCCTTCTCCGTGCCCCAGGGCATGGGCGAGGTGCTGACCGATGGAAAGATGCCCTCGCATCACCTGGGAGCCCAGGGGGCTACCAGCACACCCAGGCTGTCTCCCACTCCTGGGTTCACATGTGCACAACCCACACAGGGTGGGCGACAGAGTCATGCTGATCAGTAGGCGACAGGCTCTGAAGAGGGGTATAAGCATCCCCCCCCTGGAGAATCTGCACAAGCTACTGGAGCTTGGCTTTGGTTTATGGCTGAATGCAAAAAGTAAGAACAGCAGGGACAATAAACACCTGGGGAAAAAAACCCAGCAGTCTAAAACAGGCTTAGCAGAGCTGCTTTGTTGTGGAAAATTAAAATGAACAATAAAAATGGAATTCAAAGTATTATGTTGTAATTATTTATAGTTTCATTTACCCATCTCATTAAAGCTCACGGAAATTACTTTGAAAAACTGAGTCCCCCATTCAATTTTTTTAACCACTTCTTTTTAAAAAAACAAGGAGTCATTCATTTGATGGAGTATGAAGTAAGCCTCTCAAATTAACTATAAATCTCCTCTCAATGTCAGGAGATGTTTGTTTTTTGTTGAAGAGTGAATTGCAGTGCATGCATTTGTGTGTGCAATTTAAGCCCTACATGGGCATTTAAACTGGGGGTGAATTTTACCCAAATGGCCTATTCTCTATTTATTTGCTGAATACAAAGAGAGTTTCACAGTTCTAAGCAGGAGTGTACCCAAATTCCAAGTAATGACAGCTGGAAAACCTTTGAGCTAATACTAATGATTATTGACTATCATAATATGGCAGGTATGAGTTTGGGGTTTGTTGTAAAGGTAATTACTTCTTTGGAGATGGTCACCCATAGCATGTATTGGTTTTTCACTTGCTGTCTGTGTTCTTTATAAGAAGAGTATGATAAGAAAAAGTTCATATTAAACTTATGAATTGAACTTCATACTGGTTCATTTCCATGTACCTTTTCTCTAAACATAACTTATATTAATGGTACTTCTCCTCCAAAGAATGGAATGAATAAACACAGGTCTACTAACAGCAGAAAAGTGGACTCCCCAAACCTAATTTGCACAGCAAAATCTATTCTAGTTAGATCATACTAATTTTTAAATTAATCAACTATATGTATTATAATACATTTTATTGTGATATCAATCACATTTAATAAAAATCAACAGCATTTAATAAAAATGAACTCAGTTGATGCTGCAATGTAAAGTTCACATTTCTTGTGGCTAATTGGTAGGCTTTATAACTGCCAAATTTTTCATCTTTTTTAGTACTAACACTAATAGCTCATGGGAGGATGTACAAAATGCATGTTGAAGATCTACTACAGCATGGTTGAACATCAAATATAAAATTAAATCTGAAGTTCTTATTGGATATATCCAATTGTATTTAAAATAATTTTATAGAGCTATTTTAAATGCAGTGAAATGATAATTTGCTTCTATTGATGTCAAATGGACTAATAAGCATGACAGAAATTCATTTTGGGGACTTTAACTTTGCTTTGGAACAATGTATTTTGTAGTCTGTGGAGTATGGGTGGGAAGAAGAGGAGAAAGCTGTAGTCAGTAAGCATAGGTCTCATGTAACTCTTTAGGTTTATCCCAAAGTTTCGAAAGGACATTTCATTTTTTCTAAGTATTAATCAGCTTTAAAACCTGACAGAGTTTTATTTCTAAAAATGCCTCCCCAACATTTTAAAGCTAGCTGACATTAGTGAGGAGTGCTGAAGGACCTCAGGTCTCTTCAGGACCATGGAAGACATGCAAGGCCATCAAGAAATCTGGCTAATACCAAATTCTGGAATTTCTAATACAAAGGTGACTTGGTAAGGTACTTTCAAATGATTCTGAGTCTTTCTTTCTTTTCTCTTTTTTTTTTGAAATGGTTAAAATTATGGAATATTTAAAATCTTCATTTCTCTTGTTTGAATTTGAAAAACTGGAGTGCAGTATCACTAATGATGCTGAACAGGCTCTTGAAGCAGTCATTTCTATAGCACCAGATGTGTGAGACCACTGACATTGACTCCTGGGGTTTGCTTCTCACTTACTTTTATTGCAGTATCTCCCGTGCCAGCCTTCTTTGCACTGGCATTTGTTGGGCTCAGCACAGGTGCCATATAGGCCACAGCCAGGTTCACAGACAGCTGTAAGAAAGCAAGCACACGTGTCTGACCTCTTGACACTTCATCCAGAGACAGCTGTTTATTTGCTTTCCCTGCTGTTGCTCATGATGGGTTGGTCCTGGAACAGCTGGGATCCACACAGTAAATCTGTGCCTTTGCACTGAATGTGTGCAGAGCCCTGAAGCAGTTCACCCCCTTCCCTCTCTTCACCTGCAAGCGGTCACTGGCAGAGAGAAGCAGATCAAACAGCAGAGCTGGGTGTCCACCAGAGTCAGTGGGAGAAGGAGGATAATCCCCAGCATCCCTCTCACAAAGCGCTCCTTTTGTATTTTAATGTTGTAATGCATTACCATTTTATTAAGCAATTCTCTATTACTAAACTGCTATGACTGACCTAACACATTGCTGTTTTATACAACTGAAAACATTTCTGGTTTCATAATTCCCATAAGTCTGGTATAGGCTGTATGTCCAGAAACTAAATTAACTTGAAATACTTTGACACAAACAATTAGTGCTGATGTTATGTAAAATGACAACACAGCCAAGTTGATGGTCTCACAACAAGGACTTGATGGAGCAGCTTGTTACTTACGCTTGGAACACAGGTCTCCCTGGTAGCCTTTGGAACACTTGCATTTATTCCTCCCGGTACATTTGCCTCCATTTCGACAGGGCTGATGGCATTTACCTAGACATTGAAAACATGAAAACAATAGTCTTAATCCCCTGCAGCTACTGGAGTGTCTCAGAAGTCTGCCTCGTACCTGAAAAACTCATCAGACACTCGTGTAAGAGTGTGCACTATCAATCCATCAGGAAAACTCTGCTGTAAGTCTGTGCTTCTAATTTACATGCATTCTTCTGCTTTGAAAATATGACAATAATTTGGTACAACCAAGGCCCGTGTGTCCACGTAGCTTTTGGCCAGATTTGTGCCACTTGGACTCTGTGGGGTTCCCCGTGTGACCAGTCAGTATTGCCTCCTGCTCTCCTCACCCATCACCAGGGAGGCAGCACTGTCCAGACTTCATGTTTGCAAAGAGTGGGATCCACACCCAGTGGGCACAAGCAGAAAATCCGGTCACGTCCCAGAGAGATTTTAAGCAATAAGATGCTCAGGAACTGACACATACGGCCTCTACTTGCAGACAATAAAGAGACTGGCTGGGCCTGTCAGCTTGTAACAAGAGGCTGTGGAGCACCACAATGCCGTCTGTGGATGGTGCAATGAGGGCTGTTCCATGCCACAGCTCAGAAACTAAAGGCACATTAAAAAAGCATGCCCTTCTTTCCTGTTTGCAAAGAACAGAGCATTTTTGGTAACAGTAATTAGAACTGTCAGACATTTTTCCAAGCTTTTGGTCTGGAAATTACTTTCCCTCACATTTACACCTTGCCAAAGGAAGAGGCTGGGTCTGACAGCACTGTTGTAGGAAGGTTTTTTTGACCTTGAATCGCCTGGGATGGAGGAGGTCCACAGTCATGGAGGAGATCCACACTCAAGTTCCTGCTGTGTCTGACACACACCAAGGGCCTTCCTCAAAGTTAATGTCAAGTCTCCCATCACGAGCCTGCCAATCCCTTGTTAGAACTGGTCTGCATTACTGAGCTAGTCAGGTCTTCACTCATCTCTGGAAAGGCGAGAAGAGCACCCACAAGCTAGGTCACCTTCAGGCCAAGGGAGGCTTGCTGGCACATCCCTGGGTACTCAGGCCACCAGTAACTACAGCCTCAGTCCTTTGCAGCTTTTCTCACTGTTGCCCAAAAGCTTTTTTTCATCTTTTCTAAGCCTACAACACTTTCTAGAATCTTCAGAAAGAACGAAAAAAGGCCCTTCCTAGATTTGGCATTAATATTTACCTGAATCTGTGAGCAAACAAAAACTAGAACCTGGGGCAGCACACAACTTCCTTTTCTTTCCTTTTTTGTTAAAGAAAGGATGTTAATTGAGACCTGCACATGATAATTTAAGCATCAATGCTGGCCTGCTATGCTGAAAACATCAGCAAATACACTCATCTCCTGATCACAGACCAATCCCTTGGGAGCTCTACACCCCAGGTAGTGCCTGCTCAGCTCTCAACCCAGGCAGACTTCTGTATCATCAATATAAAAGAAACATTTGCTCCTAATCTGCATAGTTATTTTAATAGCCCTGAAACAAACTTAATACCATGCTGATAGAACAAAACGTGTAAAGGAGAGCTCCTGCAAAAGCACAATTTCCCTGCAGGAACATCTGGAGAGGGAACCTTTAGGTGTTTTAACTTGTAGGCATTTGGATCCCAAGTAATTAATGAGCAAAAGGAGCAATGCTAAGGAAGTCAACGAATTTTCCTAGTTCTTGAAGTAAATCTGGAGAACATGAATCCAATGATGTGATAGTGACTTCCACAGAGTTGCATTAGGTAGCCATTTGGCTCAGCACAGTTTATTAATTTATACTAAGATATTTTCATAGACTGAAGGAAAAAGTAATTACTCTCTCTGTTATTGACTGAGAAACAGAAAAAGCAACAAAACAGTTGGTGACAAATGGAGGAGGAATCCAAACCAAAATAAAACTCTCTGGACTCAAACTGAAACACTAATTAGGGACAACACATAACTATAGCTAGAAAAAAGTCTGGAAGACTGTGAATGCTTGTTAGTATTGTAGGCTGGGCCCAGTACATTTCCCAGGAGTCTTACAGAGTGATTCAGCCACTAGACAAGCACTCAAAATCTTTAAGCAATATTAAAAAAAATCCCAAACAAACAACTTTTCAGTTTTCAGAAGATGGCTTTCTGCCTGTTGAAAGGTTTTCTCCCCTTGTTTTTTCAAGACCCCCGTGACTGAATGTAGCTGGCTCTGGATCTAACAAAAGAGATTGAGTTGTGTCTCTCCTCCAGTGTTTCTAAGCCTCATCTAGCATCTCTTGAAGTATTCCACTGTTGTGCTGGCACTGGTGCAGTGCACAGAGGTGGTACAGCAGCCATCAATCACGGCCTAACAACTGCCATCTCAGCTTTCCAAAAGCCAAGGGAAGTGCCTAGCTTTCCTTCCTCTCATAGACATGATGCTAGTTTAGCTCTTAGCACACTCTGATACTGAAAATGTGTTTCTTTCTTTTGTACAGGTATTAGTTTGCTGCCTTATTTTTATGAATTTAATTGGAGTTTCACAGGTAACCCTTTGCAAGAAGTTTAAGTAAGTTGCGCCTATCCCAAGCAGCAGTAGACAACAATGAGCTTGAGCCCCTTGGACAGATCAATGGCCTCTACTGATGCATATTAAGAAAGCAGCTCTTACATATCCCAGGCCAAATGTTGCTCTCCATGCTTACATGAGAGTGCTGGGGAACGTTGGTGAGATTATTTACATCAGGAGAAGCTCCTTGTACAACTTTAAGCTCAGAAAGAACCATCTGAGTGCATGTTCTCAAAACTGAAGTGTTCATGCTCTATTCAAGTGTGGGGAACTACAGAATTAATCCAATTTAACAGAGCTGTGAGAAAACCCTTCTTTTGGTGAGATCAAATACTTGACAGCTGACCTCCCAGGTCTGTTCCAGACTAGACATATCACCATCCCCAGCTTTACACAGCACACTTAGATCAACCATGAGCTAAAATGTTTTGAATAGCTTTGATGCTAAACTTCTGAAAAGAGCAAGTCTTTTGATGTTTGTGACATGGATTTTCAAGTTGCCACATGAATGCAACTTAATACATTACATGAAAGCTCTCAGCTCCTACAGCTCAGTCCCCCTTTTGCTCTAAACCCTTTCATTTTCAACTTATAGTAGCCATTTCAGAGGTGTGGGCTCAGACTTCACCTGCCGTGCCCAAGTCCTGATTGCCATAACATTTGCAAATAGCTGCTCCACGTCGCCTTTGCACAGCAGCACATCTCCCTGCCACAGAGTATCTATCACTTGGGTATTTAGGGCCTGAGGGTTGTTACCAAGCCAGGAAATAGTAAAAACAAAACAAGGTAGAGGATGTGGTGGTCTAGCAATGATTCAAACTTCAGTTTGAATTCAGTAAGAAACTCATTTGAAGGCATGTGACATCTGACTGTCTGAGAGCCCAAACCTGCCATATGAGACCCTTGCTATGAGCCCAGCAGAGGTAGGTTGGACATCATCATTCAGACACTGACACTAGAAGTTGATGTAAGTGAAAGCAAGCAAATGGAGACGCTACTCACTAATTTCACATTGGTCTCCTTCATAGCCCGAAGGACAAATGCATTTTCCCAGATAGAAACACGTTCCTCCATTGAAACAGGTTGTTGTACAGTTTGCTGAAACAAATAGAACAGGAATGAATTAAACCACTAATATGAATTTGGTCTGACTTGGCCTTAATGTTTTTTGCTACTCAACATAAATAAACGTTGAGTGGGTTTTTAAAAGTTGCATTAACATCTTCATTAGGTTTACGAAGGAAGACTGAAATGTGTTTTTTCCTACATAATGCTTTACACAGGCACACACATAAGTCAATATAGAAAGAGAAAAATGAAAATACAGCAACGAGATCCCCAAGGACAGACTGTTACATCTTTGTCAATTCTCACATGTAAAGCTTGTTGAAGGATCGAGGCACTATTATTATTGAAACAGCTAGTGTCTGATAGAAGGATAACAACCTAGGACTGGAAGTTACTTCTACAAGAGGACACTTCACTGGAGTTCTTCAGTGATGCCTTGACTAGAAAGAAACCTTTTTAAGTTTTCACTCTGTGATGACATAGATGCAAATGCCATGTCTCTCACCTGCCATATGACTCACACTGTGTTAGATGTGACCTTTCACCAAACAGCTGGGATTCACGTTAACCCTTCAAGACATTGAGAGCATTTCATTACAGTGCACTTTTGAAACATTTTTAAATGCGGTAAAAGTCTCATCAAGGACCAGATACAAGTCAGAAGGACATTGATCACAACAGTTTGTGCAAGCATACCTAAAGGTCTAGGAAAGTTCCCATTGTTTTACTGGGAAGCCCGCTAGGACTTTTTTGCATTTAGTTTTTACTTTACATAGTTCTGCAACAATAAATGCAACGTGGCGTTCTGTTGCCTGCTCTTCCATGAGCAGGTTAGCTTTAGTTCTGTAGAAAATCACTTGTTGTTTTCTACATGGTAACTTGGACTGTTCCACATCACTGTTCTGAATGACCAGTTGTTCCTTTTTATCCTTCCCAAGCCACCATGCAGCAACAAAAAGTAAAGAGTCTACTTATTTTTTCATGTGTCCAGATGCAGCAAATTAAGATACTAAATAATTAGTATCTTATAATCTTATAATTAGTATTAGTAAATAATTAGTCAGGTTTTTTTTTCCCCAGGCCAGAAATAAAAGTGAATTGTGTGGGAGGTCCCACAGCTTTCACTGGATGAGCTAAAATGATTACCTGAACTATCCTTCACAGAGCTGGCGTATACAGATGCCTGCACATCTGCTGTGAAAGCACTGCAGATCCCTACATTCTGCCACCAGCTGCCAGGTTGTCCTACAGCATCTACTTGAAGAATCACAAAACTTTTAGAACATACTTACTTCACCCTGTGCCTGACTTTCCAAAATCTACTCCTCGAGGAAAGCTAACAGAGGTGAATAAAGAGAGGCCCTGGGATGTGGAGCCTGGGGGCTTTACCTTTGTCGCAGTTGATGCCATAGAATCCTGGGGGACAGATGCAGAGGCCGGGTGTGATGCAGAGCCCACCGTTCATGCAGCGAGGAGCACACAGTGCTGAGGAGCAGGAAGAACAGAAAAAAACATCACTGGTGTGATCACAACTGGCTACTTATATAGCACACTGACTCCTTAAGCTACTTTTCCACCTGCTGAATGTAATAAGTCACCTTTGAAAAGTGTCTATGTTAGTGTGATAAACCAATTACATCTCTGGTTTGTATCTGGCCATTTGTGTATAATGTTGCTAAAAAAGTGAAGACTAAATTAAGTTCAAATCTGGTTCCATATGTAAGCAGAAATACATTTTAATTCCAAACAAGGGACAGCCAAGTGCCCGCATACTCTGGATATATGAGGTCCCCCCAGACCAGTCCTTTCTGTGGACTGGGCTCTGGTGCTGCAGCTGGTGCCTCAGCCCTGCAGACAGGACAGTCTTTTTAAGGGCTGTGTTCAGAGGTGTCAGTAATTCAGCAGGGTTCCCAGGCAGGTTTTATCATGAACCCTCCTTTCTCCCTGTGCACCCCTGAGCTAAGCACAGCTACCAACTTTAGGCTAGGGAAGCCTGCCATGTGGCCTGGTTTGGGGGTCAAACTGTCCTGCATGCTCCCCATGAACCTTCTCCAGAGTCCCTGTGCTCTCCCAAGACTTCTCTGCAGTTCTGGACAACCCACAAGGCTCTTCCAGGGAGGCCTGTCTGGAGGCAATGCTTCATTTCATGGTTGCCCAAAATAACTACATGCAGCAAGGCTGGTGAGTTCAACAGTACCCTGGCATGGGGCCAAGTAGTGGCACAGGATAATCCATCTTGTGAAACTGTTGGTGTCGCTCCTGGCACAGCTTTGCCCCCAGCTGACCGGCAAACCTTCCTGGGCAAGGACATGGGGCAAGCAGTGGCCGTGGCCTCCTCCCAGCAGGGAATTTGGAGGGTTGTTTTTTGTTTTGTTTTTTCTGAGCTTAAGAGAGTTCATTAAACATATGGATGTAAGCTGTGCCGTGCCAGTTGTCCTCCAGGGTAGAGAACAGTCCCTGACGCTTTGTGCTTAATGTTTTTGGATGAAGCCAAAACATTTGGGAGTGAAGGATGGCATTGGAATAGGATGCTCATGGAGATGGTTTGCTCCATCTTGTGTCACCCTGGGGAAGGTCTACCACTGGGGAGGGAGAAAGGAAGAGATAGGAAGAAGAGCTAGTTCCCTGCCAAGTCACACCAATTTCCTGGTTCTTCACTCCTGGAAATGTCATTTGGGGCTATCAGTCACTAACAGAAAGGAAAAGGAGACTCTTTTATCTTCCCATCTTTGTTGTCAGCCTGCCTGCACATTAGATCTTATCTCCACATTAGATCTTATCTGCAAACAAACAAATGCAAACCAACTAAAGTCCTGTCCTTTGTTTCCCAGCAAGTTCTCATTAGCAGAAGAATTTTATTTAATCTTTTGCCAGATGGATTCCCTGTGATTAAGGATCACTTAACTATTATGCCAGTTCTTGTTAAAAGCAATCTCTTAGAGAAAAAAAAACCTTTTCTTCTTTTAAGCAGTTAATGTTTCCATTAGGCCAAGGACAATAGCAGTAATTCTCTTACAAGTGTGGACTCAAAATATATGACATCTTCAGAATAGGCCATTCTTATTTTTAGGAAAGGCTACAGTGCAGCAGCTACAAGGTTTGTTGAGATTATGGTAAAGAAGACAGTGGAGAAGATATTTTTAAAATTACCTTTCTCACAGTGAGGCCCGTAAAATCCATCTGGACATTCACAGACACGTCTTTCATTGCAAACCCCTCCATTTCTGCATCCTCCTGGACACTCCGCTTCATAAAATATAATTACAATCTTAACTGAATATTATATACTTCAGCTGTCAGCCAACTCTTGTTAGGATCAATATATACCTTTGACACAACTCTAAAAATATTTTCTGACAGACAGGCAAATACTGACATAAATGCAAGTTCAACCAAGACCTCCTCAAAAGACATTGATTTCTTTTTTATTAGTCTATAAATAGAGGTTCCATCATGTGTCCAATCAAATGCATGATGTTCTTGTTGACAGCCTGTGCATTTCTATCGCTCTGCTCCTCTGTAAGTACATGAACAATGTGGGTGCTCTGCTCAGTCCAGCACTTTCTTCTCTGTGCAGAAATGAGCAGGTAGCTCAGTGCAGGACTGACATCGCTGGTTAGACCTGCCCTTGGTATGCAGGACCAGTTTTCATTTCTTAAAGAGACTGCATTTTAGAATCATACAATCCTTTAGGTTGGAAGAGATCTTTAAGATCATCAGGTCCAACCAATAAGCCAACACTACTAAGTCCTCTGCAAAAACAGAAACAGAATCAGAATCTGTCAGGGTTGGAAGGGACCACAAGGATCACCCAGTTCCAACCCCTCTGCCATGAGCAGGGACACCTCCCACTAGATCAGGCTGTCTAGAGCCTCGTCCAGCCTGGCCTTAAAGACCTCCAGGGATGGGGCCTCACCCACCTCCCTGGGCAACCCATCCCAGGGTCTCATCACTCTTGTGGTGAAGAACTTTTCCTCACTTGCATTGCATTAATTACCACATCTGTTACAACTGAGGTGACAAAGTGATGAAATCTGTATCCAAATGAAAGACCTGGCTTCAAGGATAAATGAAAGGCCAAAAAAGGAAGATGAAAGCATTCCTAAATGGCCCTCTATCATCACCCAACATTTATTTGTATACACCATTGATCAAACACTGGTAAAAGGAACACTGGATGAATTATGAATGAGAAATACCTCTGGGTACCACCACCATCCTCAAAATATGAGAGTCCAAGAGGCAAACTAAATTGAACTCTATAGAATCCCATGAAAACATGACTTCTGGGTAGAAAAAAAATTATTCAAAAGTACTTCCCCAGATCTCTCACAGAGAAGGCAGCAGGCGGGAGAGGCTGCCTACTCCAATTAGAAAAACTTAATATCACTAGTGATCACTGGTACCAGGACTATAGGTCAGCTTCAGCAGAGTAGCTGTGACCTTCTCATCTTGCTGCTCTCCTGTGTGACAAGGTTCAAAAACTCTGAGGAAGACTGATATGTGTAACCCAGACTTGAAGGCCATCTATTAGGCAGCAATTGGCTGTAATGTTGACATCATGTCTTTGGGGTTTTTTTCCCTTTAATGTAACAGTGCTGTAAACATACATGACTTGACAATAGTTGCCAACAGCATCCTTACCTCTTTTCCACTCCTTCATCAGGAAGTGCCAGCACCTACCATCCCTAGTCTGTAAAGACGTACCATGGATTCACACTGATTCCCAACTGAGTAATACCTGAATTCAAACTGAAGCAATTATGGCCCTTAAGGTGCACTTGTTTCAGGTGACAAGGACTAGTAGGACATCTATAAATGTGAAGGCTCAGATTGCCTGAGGCATTTTGGCAGCTCACAGAGATTCTTTAAATTGTAACTCATATTATTACAGAGGAAAACATAATCCTGGACTTAAAAAACTTGAATGAATCTCCCTTCTAATATATGAGTCAGGTGACATATCCTTAGACCCATACACAAACTTTTGCTATTGCAGGTTTATTTAACAGCTAATAGAGCCACAGGAGAGGATGGCTGCTAAAACTATGTGCTGCATTCTGCTACACTCACGTAATAGCTCTCAGTTCAGTGGGATGTGAAGGGTAACTCCAAGACTAAGGAAAAAGAAAGAAAAGATGATGTACTGGTCAGGTGATTGGATATTGTGTACAACTATCAAACAAAAAGGAGAGAGAGAGAGAGGGGAGGAAAAGTGCAGTTTTAAAATGCTCTCCTCTCCAAGGCTGTAGATACGTGAAACGAAAAGTGCCACTTTAGAAGTAAGGCTGTCTGCAGCAGTAGTAATAGTGGTAAAGGCTTTTTGGTCTTACTGTATTCCAGCACTGAACCCTAGGACTCTTTCTGGAAATGCTTCTCTCTTTGTACCTGAATGCAGAGTTGCTATTCATTATAGCAAATGCATGTTTAAATACATACTATTTAAAACAGAAAAGTAGGAACACATATTTTTTGTGTGGCCACCCCTTAGCCACAATAAATCCTTTCCTCTCCCACAAAATTGCTCCCTCATTCCTCTCACTTCCTCTTGTAAGGGCCCTTCTGGATGGCCAAGAATGACTGGAAGCAGTGACTGGGGCTCTAGAAGGAGGAATCAGAGCTCCCCGCCACCAAGGACATCTGTCAGAGGAAGAAAACTCTAACAACCACCAGTAAGGACATCCTCATCCTTCTCAGCATCTGTCCCAAAACACTGTGGTGTCCACCTTGCCAGGCAGAGGGCAGAAACAGGAGTTATCCCAGTAGGTGCAGAATGAGGTGAGAAAACTCCTCCTCTACCCAGCTCTAGAGTTTGGGAAGTCATCCTTTTGTCTCTCAGTTAGCTCTGGGAACACGTGACCAGACCAATAATCACCCCCAGCTTTCCTGAGGGGCCATATGATGCAATAACGTTAAATAGTTAAATATTACATCTCATATTGAAATTATAACAACAACTAATAGCACAGAAATTATAACCTGGATGAATGCTACTACTAAACTGAATTTGGAGACCTCTCTAAGCCACATTTTTCTGCAACATAGAACTGTAAATCTGCTCCCCCTGTTAAATTACCCCAAAACCATTTCCAAAGTTTTTTAAGTCCATTATCTTTGAACTGAAAATAAAAAGCTAGTAAATGTTTTGTATTTTATTCACATCAGACACACAGCTTTGCACAAGAGATCTGATTGACTTTGCTTCCATTCCCCACTTTCCTTCCTGTTTCTCTGCTCACTTCTTCTCCCCCTCCTCCACTTTCTGTGGGCTAATTGGCAGCAGAAAGGCTTCAAAGGACATAAGCAGCTTTGCTATTTAGGTGTAGTAAGGTTTCAAAGAACAAACAGCTCCCTGCTGCTCATTCTTTGAAGCCACACTATAGTCAATTAACTCTGAGAAAAGAGCACAGAGAAGAAAGTGTGGGATGGGGAACGACAATTTAATAGGAGAAGAATAAAAAACTCACTCTTTATACATCAGCACTGTCATGGGTCAGTTTGATACAATTGCACATGACATGGGATAACTGCATTATCTTAGATACTGATTTTTCAATTTCCACAGCCTCAGTTTAAAGTGATTGTTACAGTTGTTTGTGGTGCACCAAATTAGTCCAGAAAGTCTTATTACATAGTGCTTATGGTTCATAGATAGGTTGATTGAACAGGTTCCCTCCTTTCCAAGTAAACACTGCAATAACTTCATTGTGCCCTTCTTCTACTAGTGCATCCTTTGTGTGTTTACTGCTTGATTGCAAGTATTGAGGACCATCTTCCACCATCTTAGACGTATTCAAAACCAAGGGGTTGCCATCTGAGCTCCAGAGAAGGTACAGCCAGGTTTTGCAAAAATTTTCTGTTGTAGGATTTTTGCATTCAGTTTGGATGTGCAAGTTGAGATTTAGGGAACTGTTCAACTAAGGCACCAAACAGTATTAACTGAAGTCTGTGTCCCCACTACAGATCCTAGAAGTTTAGTTCTGCAAATTATGTGGCAATTCTGAGGGTGTTAGCCTCGGCTTGTTTTCACAGGACTAGTTCTCCTCCAAGCACCTCAAGCAATTTGCTAACAGGTCCTTCCCATATGATACATGTATCAACATCCTTGACATGATGAGCAGTAAACAGGAAGAGAAAGGGCTCCAACCCAGTCTGCTAAGAGAGATGGAGCTGACCGTAAGAAAAGGGTTAGTAAACATGTAGTAAATGAATAGCAAACCCACAGATAGAGCCAGAACTATCTGGCATTCACCAGCGTTGCTACACAGTGCATGACCACTTTATTTCCACCTCTGCCAGACCTTATCCTGAACAAAACCTAAGAAAGTCAGGTGACCTGGCCTGACAGTATTCCAGCACATTCTCTTTAATGTTACCTTGCTGACAGGTTTTAAAGAAGATGGCGTTCTGAGGGGTCTGGAGAATAATACTGCCTTCTGAATTCATGATGATCACATTCACTTCAAATGCAGCAACCCCATCTTGTTTTCCAATGCAAGGAAATCCAACCTGAACAACTTAAAGGAGAATAATAACAATGATATTTGTATTTATATGCATATATATATATATATATATACACATATAAAAGCATACCCTAAAATACTAAAAAATATAGGTAATATTTATAATCCAGCTTTACAGTAATGCCACTGATGAAAACCTCTAACACAGAGATTCACAGCCCACCTCATTCATAGGTAGCTCCAGGACTAGAAGAACAGCAGCACAGGCGACAAGCTTGTGCTCACTTACCAATATAAACTCAACATGCTACAGCACAAACACCAGTCTTAAAACAAACATACTTTTGCTGGCAGATGAGGGAATTACTCATGTGGAGGAATCTAAGGATACACCAAAACAAGCTGGAAGCCTACATTTAATTTTCTAAGCTGTTGATCACTTTTGAGTCTGTTGTTTTCTGCAAAACCATCTTACACATTTTGGAAAAAAAAAAAGAAAAAGTTACTTTAGGTGTGTCCCACTGTTTTGGGTATTGTGATTAATACTTAAAGAAGACACTGACTTAATCAGAACTTACTCATAAAGTGCAGGCAAGACGGTACACTTAAATAAATAAATAAATAAATTATAAAACAAACAAACAAACAAATAAATAGATTATAAATAATAAATAAGAATATGGGTGCAAATACTTGAAAAGAAGATACTGACACATCACTCTGACAGAACTTGTGAAGTGTAGCAATATTTGGAGATTGTCTTTCCAAGAAAAGTATTCAAACACTTTTCAACTACAAAGCATTTAAGTAAATAATTAAGGCCAGTAAATCTGAAGTATCTTAATGAAGAAGCAAGCCTGATAACTCCGAGCTATGGAGTACTCCACTCTGATTGTGACAAGCGATCTTAAATAATCTTCAGATGAAACATTTTTTATCTCTTTTCTTCAAAATTGGTTCTTCCTAGCTGCTTTATAAATAACATAGAAATTGTTTATTCACATAGAAATTGTTTATTCATTTCTTCTGAAGCTGAGATTTCACAGTCAAATATTGAGCTAAGAGCCCTACATTTGGTTTGTTTTAAATCGTTTGTTATAAAAAATTTTGCAAGTTGTAATTTGGCCATTTTTATTATTTATTGCCTTTATATAATACAGAATAATTTACTGCTGAAACACATTCTGCTTCTGGTGAGTCCTACAGACTGAAAAGTCTGTTGCAGTTTTTATTATAAAGCAACTTTATTGCTGAAGCACTTTTACACTAATCATTTGAAAGACAGTTACAAAAAGAATATAACCATGTGTCAAGCAGAAAGCACAGTGGATTAAATAGAGTTTAAATGCAGCAATCATAAACTGAAGTAACCTTCTTACAGGGCAAGTGCAGGAAATCTGTGCTTATGTTGGGATATGTGTGACTTAGGTGAGCAAATTGCAATGTGGAGGAAGATTTGGCTGAAGTTTAATGGTGGCACTAGGGTCATCTCTAGACTTCATTGAACTGACAGCAAACTCCTGAACTCCCCTGAGATATGGCTATGGGTTTAAATGCTTAGGGCAAAACCCTTCTCTTCAGGCTAAAGTCTAAGGAAACAGGTCAGAAAACCCTTATTCCAGTACTCCCCATCTGGGAAATATCTGTATTTTTGGATTTTCCTTATGTCCAAACTCCTAGGCACACAAAAACACAGTAAAGGACCCTCCTGTGAGCAGCAAGCACCTGGATCCTGGCTGAGCTCTGTGGTGGTTTGGAGCTCAAATGAAGTCCCTAAACCTTGCCTGAATCTTGGCCTTTTTATGCCTGTTTGAGTAACGCTAAGCATGCACCAACAGCACCACGGTCAAAACAGAGCACAGAGCCCTTTCATCCAGAACCACAGCCACGAGCCCCCATGGGCCACCATGGGCTGTGGCAGGGCAAAGCTCAGGTCCAGTCCCTGCCCCCCAAATGCAGGATGCAGTTTACATTTGTCCATCGTTGGCTAAAAATAAGGAAAAGGACTCACAGCTCAGGACTTCTCTCTGCTAGCCATCATCCCACCACCAGGCCACAGAATTGCCTCTCCTGCACATGCATATTTCTGCATCCTCTGGAGCACTTGCACCCAGGGCTGCAGAGCAGATGGCTCCAGCAGGAGCTGAGGGAAAGGAAAACTAATTTGAAACGGAAGATAAGGAAACGTAGTGATTTATATCTAGTTTAATCTTAGCTGATGATTAGAATGCTCTCTTGGGATGGGGAGGATGCATGTTTAATCCCTTTTATCTGGGAGCTCATGCCTTTTCCTTCTCTTCAGGAAACCAAGGTTCCCGAAAGTGTTTCCAGTAAAGGCAGGTTGAGAGTAACTCCTGTGTATCTCCACAGCTTTTCACGTTTGCAGGCAATTGCTTTCCACACTTAGCATGCAAAAGCCACCACCAAAAGCCACCTACAGTCTCGGTGTGGGATTGCTTAAGGGCCATCTCTGAACTACCAACCCCAGCAGAAGGCGGCATGCACGATCTGCAGAAGAGTGGGAGTCTATGCACAGCCCTGCATGGGCTGTTCCTCTCTGCCAGCCCACTGCCCATCTCTACCAGCATGGCAGAGTGAGCAGAGATGCTGCTGTCCCCAGAGAAGGCACCAACTTCTCCCACAGAGTCTGGAGAGAGTTTCAGAACCTTTGGTTGCTCAGCACGTATATTTTAATGTGTCAACACCAGCAGTGGGCAGGGAGAGGAGTTGTCCTGAGCTGTGTGAAATGCATGAAGCAGCACTGTGCCAGCAGCCCAGGCTGCTTGCACTGGTGGCACCAGCAGCACACTGCACTGGCTGGGGTGGACAGGGACAGGAGCGGCATGCTTAGGTCACTGAGGGGGCCAGCTCTTCTCAGTCACAGGCCACTATATTTCCTCTGGGCACACACCAATAGCTGGTTTTACTTTCCTCAGTGTGGTGATCAAGACCTTAACCGCTGCCACTACTAACACCTGAAATTTTTTGAACTTGCTGAGCTCAGTTTGAACCCCTGGAGCCTGTTCTCATTGGACGGGTACCTACACTCCTCAAACTTCTTCTTTTGGACAAGGTGAGTAGTCTTAGCTCTTTAAGCTTTCACTGAAAGGCATCTTCTCCAGCCTTCTTAACTTCTTACCATGTATCTAGGTATAACAAAACCCATTTTGTTAGCAATGGATCAGGTAGAAATCCTGGGATTTGAGCATGGGATTTTCAGATGAGGCTAAGAAACTTAAATGGTTTAAATCTAATTTAAATTTGAGGAGAATTTGATACCTCATCTAATAAAGGATATACTGGATTAGAGAAAGCTGAGAGAAGGACAACAAGACTGCATCCAGTGAGGAGCACTCGAGTAGGCTGCAAGTCTTTAGCCTGGCAAAGAGAAAAATTAGGGGAGACATAGTAGATATCTACAAAATCATGACTCATGGATAGGATCAACAGTACAGATTGACTGTTGTCTCTACCAATACAAGGACTAGTGCCCATGAGATGAAGCTGTTACAGCCAGACTCAGGACAACAGGAGGGGGATGTTCATGCAATGGGAGGCAGTGAATTCCATGCCAAAGAGACTCGTGATATCAGAAGATAATATGGGCTCACGGAGAGCCTGGACAAGTACTGGAAAGAAAGATCTGTAACCCATGTGGGGTTACAAAAAAGACAAATCACTTAAGACTCAGGAAATCCTCCAAGCTGGAGCTAGTAAGAGCTGAGAGGGTAAAGAGAAGTATTGTATATGCTTGCCCTCCTTTTGCTCTCTTCCTGGTCATCATATGGCCACCATTGGCCGTAAGACAAAATACAGGCTAGGCAGGCCCTAAAGCACTGAAGCCATCCTTATGCTTTATTGGTGATAGGCAAATATCCTCAAAGACTTCCTCTGAGTAAGACATCCAAATGTTAATCATCAGTCCAGCTTCCCACTCTCATGTTTAATACAATTGTCTTTCCTCTTTTATTCCTCCTTAATTGTCTTTAGTGCAATCTTTCAGGCTAAAATGCTTTTCCAAGAAAGAGCTTGCTACCATTGTTTTGTTATTAAACACAAGTTTGTGACTGAATTTCCTCTGACATGCATGTGTGTAGGAAAATGATTTGCTAGTGCAATAGAATCAGGCAGACTAGACTAGATTTGTCAGAACTCTTTTGCAAACATATAAATTATAGAAAAACTACAAGGTAGCAAACATTCACTACTTTCATAGCCTGTATTTATTTAAGGCTACCTGGTTAATTTTGGCCAGCTAGCAAGCACTGTAAAAAAACCCCACCACCATATTAATGAGTCACTGTTAAACAGTGTACAAACTTCAAATACTGTACATGTACTGATTATCAATAGCTGATAAACACCAGACTCACTATAGTGCTAAACAGGACTTTAATACAGCTTATATATACTAAGTGCAGTGGTGTAGTGCACATGGTCCACCTAAGGAAACATCCTGGACATATCCATATTAGTCCTGGAACTGAGGTACCAGTGCTGCTAACAGGGTAAGTCCTTTTTGGCTTTAGTAAGACCACCCATCATGATAGTTAACAGACCTTCTGGAACTGTGAATCTCATCTCCAGCTTCCCTGCACTGGTAGATTATGTTTTCTTAAATACAGTCAGAGAGGGGTCATTTTGGTCTGGTCTTTCTAAGAGATGCTTACAAATTAAAGGTGAACCTAGCTTATATTAGAGGCTGCTGAGTGCAGAGCTTCCCACATATCTCACCTGCTTTATGTGGAGATGGAAATAATGCTTAACAAGAACTCTGCCTTTGTGACTGTTTAGTTACTTTTAAATGTCTTTACTTGCCATTTTATCTGGCTTGCACCCAGTGAAATTGCAGCAGTTATGGTACAAACAATACAGCACTCTTCACACAAATCCATTTTCAATACCACTCATTCAATCCACATTGAGTGGAGAGACTAATCATTAATGCAGCCACAGCAAAAAGCTGTGCTTCAATTATACTACAAGCTGAAAATGAAGGATTTCAAACACAAAATTTCAGAATTTATACACTGAGAAAAAGAAGAGAAAGAAAAGTTTGTCAGAGATGTAAACTTGTGTATCACTGCTCCACTTGCAGCCCCATCCTCCTGTTCCATTTCTTGTTGCTTTCTGACTTTATCCCACACAGTCTTAGGCTGGCTAAGGCTGATCATGAAGCCAGGATCACTAAGACTACTGTCACCCAGATGTACATTTCTGCCTTTCTGCCAGAGACTACCACATGTTAGCCCTGGAACAGACCACATAAACTGTTATTCATCCACTTCAGAACAAAGTGGATTCGATAAACTCTCATGGAAAGCTTTTTTACTCCACTTGGCTCACTGTGCACCATGGTGCTTCTGGAGTGCTCACATTGGCTTGGGCTCAGCATCTGCTGCAGAGCTATAAGCTCCAGTGAGGGACTAAGAACGTACAGCTAAAGGAAAAGTGATAAATTATAATAACCTAAACTAGAACTTTTGTCTTTGAGCTCTGTGCCTGATGACAACAGCTGGCTCCAGCTGAAAGTAAAACATCCACAAACTGCAACCTCTGAGAAACAAAATAATTTGATAACTATTCCTCATAACGATCAAAGATTTTGTTTTCCAAAAGCTGCACAACTTAAGTAATAACATTTATGCACATGAATTTTAAGCAACAATTTTGGACAAATTTCTGCTGATTTATCTACGCATAAAAGCTTCATGTGACTTGGCTCAGGCAAAATATGCTGCTGTAATCAGGCAAGGCACTCACAGACTGTTCAGTGTCAGGCCCTGTGGCAAGAATTTCTTCAGCAATAAACTTCATAACTGCAATTCATAATAAGATATTTAGATTTTACTGGCTGTGGAATATTTTTTACAGGAACACAGTTTATAATATCAACAGCACAAACCTGATGCTTTATGAGGAACAGTTCCAAGCAGAGGAATATTTATAGTTGGATCAGCCATTATGCCTTTATCCAAAGAGCGTAAAGACAAGAACTCATAGAAGTACTCAGCCTATGATAAAATAAATGAAAAAACAAAATGTATTTTAATTGCATTCACAGGAGCAAGCTATTTAGCATATAACTTACAGCAGAAAAATGCTACACTTTTCATTATGCCATTCACTGGATTTATTCCTATTATTTTCCTGAGTGCTTCTTCACCTAAGCATAGTTTTCAGATAATTTCCTCTTATTTCAGAGATTGTTAGTGACCATACAGTAATCAGGACGCAGCTTAACGGTGAAGAAAATGGCATTTGTACAGTGAACAAATTTTACACAGAGAAGGCATTTTTTACAACCCACACTTTTTATCTGGCAGACCACAAAAAAAATGTATAAAGAGTAAACCAATTCTTAGTGCTGATTTTTGGGCAGAATCCTCCTGGAAAAGCCTGGAGGACCTGCCTGCCCCACAAGTGCATCTTTAAGGACATAATCACCTGTATGATACCAGCTGTGGTGTGAGAATCTCTGAGCTTGCTCTTGGTTGACCTGCACAGCATGGTACATTGCCTTGGGGAAGCAGTGCTGGGCAATGAATAGCCGTGTTCTGTTGCCTTGTTCAACCTCAGTTCATTAAGTTGTTCTAAGGAGGGAGCTGAGAGCTTTCCTACAGAGTTGGCTTTATGTCACTCATTATTAACTGCAACATAAATAATTTGTTTTGGTGATCTTCAAAAGGTGTTGGCATTATTTAAAAGCTACTTTCCACTACCTTCATGCTACTCCAAATACGCAGCTGCATTGTGGCACAGATTGTAGGTGCTGATACTTTCTTCCATGGGACCCTGGCTTCTCTGTTGAGTCATCTGTTCAATATTTCTTCATCTTGATGCAAAGTGACATCATCTGTCCACAGTGCAGCTGTACACACCACGTACACCTGAGATGCACGCATCGTAGCAAGCCACTGGAGACTTCCTCCACTGTCAATGGCACGGCTGCAGGTGTCCAGAGCAAGTGGAAATGAACCTTTTCCCTAATCTATGGCTTATCATTTATCCTGAAGCGTATGAGGGATCATAGATAGTTGTACCTGCTGCTTTCAGAAAAGCACTTTAGACCTTAGCATGGGCACTGGCAAAAATGCATCTCCATCCAGCAGCTTACTGATAGTAGACAGCATTGTTATGTTTGCTTTTTAGCTGACCAGTGAAACAGAGATTAAAGCAAAAGTTTTTTGAGCTATTTGGGCTTATAAATGGTAGTTAATTTATGTTTAGAATAACTACAAGATGGTGGTCAATGTCCTTAGTGTGGGATAACAGCCCAGCTTGCTGTGTAGCAGAACTGCAGGCAAATTTAGTGCACTTTGAGAAAAAGGTTAAGCTGTTTGCGACCATGAGATTCTTATGCTATCTCTGGGAGTGAAGACCCACCAAGATGGAATGCCAAATGGCTGAAGGAAGGAGTCTTGTGAAGATAAGATGGTCCTGTTTCAGCTAAAACAACAGAAGCAAAAATCTTTGACACAGAGTTTGAAGGCTACAGTGTATACCCCTAAGTATGGTAACGAGCCCAATGGAGTACATGGTAAACATATATGACTGTGTTACTCAACTCTGCACCCAAATCATGCTAGATGTCACCTAGAAGGCAAGAACAGATGGCATCAGCATATAAAAACCCATGAGGGGAATACCTCTTTGTGTGGGGGGAGAAGATGGAAGGTCTAGCAGAGACAGTCAACGGGCTGTAATCCTCTTCCTCCACCCAAGACAGGGATGCCTTCTTCATAAGAACTGCACCTTCAGCATATGGTGTAACCTTTGCTAGCACTGCTACTCTATATTAGTGTTATTACACAGACTTGCACCTCCAGCTGTGTCAGATGTTGCCCAGGAATTACTAACTCGAGCTCGATTTCGCAGTTAGTGCTTTTATCAATGGTGATTCCAAATCTAATGCATCTATCACTTAAATAAATCAAACCTATCTATTTTTAAACTCTTATACTGTCTCTGCAAGTCCTTAGCAGTGCCCTGAAATAGGCAAATGCTGACTTTAAAAAAATGCTTCAGTGAAAGTCCTTGGGGGTCTGGCAGGCAAATATCAAACTCTTGCCCTTAAAGTGACAATTAGCTAGAACACTGTCCTCTTCCTCCTTAATACCCTGTCTCCCTAGTACAAGGAAGACATGGAGTTACTGGAGTGAGATCAGTGAAAGGCCACAAGGATCAAGAGACTAGAGTGTCTGAGATAATCAAGGGAATGGAGTGTCTGATGCACAAGGAGAGGCTGAAAGAGCTGGGACCATCCAGCCTGGAAAAGGTTGAGGGGTGATCTAATCAATGTGTATGAATAGTTGATAGGGGCTGTTAAGAAGATAAAGCCAGACTCTGCTAGGTGGTGTCTGGTGACAAGACAGGGGGTGATAAGCACAGTAAAGAAAACTCCATTTGAACCTAAGAAAACACCTTTTTACTCTGTGAGTGACTGAGCAATGGCAAAGGTTGCCCAGAGAAGTTGTTGAGCCTCCATGTGTGAAGATATTAAAAATCCAACTCAACACAATCCTGGGAAAGTGGCTCTAGGTGGCCCTGCTTAAGTGCAGGGATAGACTAGGCCCGGTAAGGTCATGGAGCAGATCC